GGCTTCTTTTGGTTATCACACCGACTATAACCTCATTCTTTTTCCACTATTTGCGACACTCTTACCCGACGTCTCTCTTAAGCGCGCTAGGGTTGCATGACCAATAGTCGGACGTCGGTCCGTCCTCCTCTTTAGTCGGTCTCGACGGACGTGACTCACAACACACACTCCTTCAGGCACCTACCAGGTTAAACCTGGTTAGTCGCCCCCGAATTGCATTGCCGAGGCGCCTGCATTGCTTGCCTGAGTGCCTAACCCCGGTAAAGCAAGGCCCATGCCCACTGTAAGGTACGCATGGGCCTTTTAGTTTACCTGGTTACGCATAGGTTGCGTCCGCAAAACCCTCCTAAAGAAACAATCGTCAAATGAGCGAGTCCCACTGAAACTTCCCAGACCTGAGACGTGCTCGCAAATGTACGTATTTTGGAAGTATTGTGTCTTCCCCTGCCCATTATTGGTCTTTTCGGTTACCCTGAAATTTTCTATTCTCTAGAGAAGCCATTGACCCACGAGAGTACGCGAAGGGCGATAACCCGTCCGAGCATTTAAGCTTTTTGCTATAGCCCAAGATATATCTAACAGAAAACCAACGAAAACACCTTTTTTACTGTGTGACTCGATCAATGTCGGAATCAATAGCACGATCTGGAATAATCGTTTGGATAATGGTAATCGTTGTGGGCGTTTTCTTATGTCGTTCACGTATAATGTACACTATGTATCAATTAAGGGGGCTGTCGTTAGTACTTCGTCGTAGTCCCCGATTTAACGTCCGCTTCTACGCGTCTGTATCCGGTCCACCTCTGTACTACCCGTCGACAGACAACCCTCTGTCGAGGGTCACCTGCTCGAGCAGGTGTCGTCGGGAGTCACAAGGCAAGGGACCAGCCAGGGGCCCATAGGGCTGTAGACGACGCCCCTGGTCGTTGTGAATGAAGAGTTGCTCCTCCGCGCGCACAGACAGTACACCTTTGTTTGATTTAGTCCCTGTTGAACCTGCTTTCTTGGCATTTCTACCCCTTGTTGTCCATCGCGTCTTAGAGCTGTAATTATGGCGGTACATCATTCGGGTGTTTTATTATTTTTGTTCTTACATCATGAAATCATTTTTGCACTTCACAAAAATAGTACTGTAAAAATAGATTACATTATATAAGCTCTATATACTACAAATTGAAATAGGAATACAACTAGTAAAAGAATACTCGGGCGTAGCTCTAGTATGCGACATATATCTAGCTCTAGGTCTTTACTTGAACAACACGTCGAGTTAGTCGACACGATGCAAGTCAAAGCAATGGGAACAGGTCGCTTTCTGTTCGCTTTCGATAGTACTTACAACTTACGTCACCGCCCTTTCACCTCTGTAAGCGTAATGTCACTGACATAGCCCACATCCCTTATTCACCGTCATGTTATTAATTCTATCTAAATTTATTCTTTTATGTCACATATATCATGGACGTAAGTTCTACTGGTGGTGTGTGCTCAGGATGAGTTTGGCTGTGTTTCGCTGTGTATCGCTAAACAAGGAAACAACACCTCCACGGAGCTTAGCGCGATTCACAACGTCCCGACCAATCAGAGCACACTGTGCTAACAAGGAGGGTGGGGGCTGGAGCTACTGGAGCTACTGGAGCTACAACGAGCCGTTAAAGGCAGGAAGTGAAATTCAGTGAATACACATAGTTTACAGAGATGCTGTATGAGAAACCAATGTGAGTTTGGAAAATTGCACAATATAAATCTATTCTAGTAGACCTCAGCAATGGAATTATGATCAGTGGAAATGGCCATGACATGGGACCTTTAAAAGTCATGTTGACCGAAATGCTGCAACATAATGTGGCAAAACTAGGTATATCTGCATAAAGTTCAGGTGTTTTTTTAATTTATTTTTAGGGTGTTCCGACTGAGTTGAATTGGTTCTTGTTTTTGTGTACTTTTTTATCTGACAAAAATGTGGACCTTTTAAATACACAAACAGAGATATAAACAAGGCATTCATTAACAAATATTTTATTAAAACATAGACATTTGTTAAAATTATAGTAGATATGAATTAAACTGACCCCTGTTTGGTTTAGTTTCACAGAAATGAAACTTAGATGCTGGGTGAAGTCATCATTATTGGCTCAGACAAGCTGAAACTGAAACAATGCTGCCAAGGTTCCCAAGAAGTGTGGCACCTTTACTTGTTTTAAGTATACATAAAACACAATCAGTTTGTTTGCCATCACATTAGTAATATAAATAAATGTATATAAAAACACAGTCCAACAAAATCAACGGTGTGATGCACTTAGAGAGTGAAGAAATCCATAAAAGACCAGATGTTCTATACTTCAATCTTTACAAAAGAAATGTAATGGCTTCTTCTTTGGACCATGTCCACCCAAGTTTTCACCCAAGTTTCATACAAGTTGTGTTTGTGCAGCAGTCCTGCTGAAAAACAAACAAACTGAACCAAAACATAACGTCTTTACAAAGCTATTAATCTTAAGGCCATGTAATATTGGGGGTTGGTAGTGGTAACCTGCTTAATGCTGTGTTAAAGGGGCATTGTTTAAAACAACCATTCAAATTCTCCCTGCACCCAACAAACTCCTCCCCAGTGACCTCAACATCTACAATTGAATACACGCCTACAGACCCGTCCTCAAATCCCACAAACACAAACTGCCGCTCACACACAACCAGAGTCAACGGATTCTTATCCAGACACACACTACCTATTCTTTCCCCGTCTGCGAGTCGTACAACCGTGAGGACTGGCCTGGCGTGCACGTAGCAGCCGCAGTTTTTCTCCACAGTGGTGCTGGGTTGAGATATGTAGGCAGCATAGCATCCAGTTGTATCCAAACAAGCTTTAATGACAGGACCCTCAGCCTTGAATGAGCACAGTCTGATCTGAGATAAGTCTAAGAGGTTGATGGCTTCATCGTCAGTAGACAGCAGGGCGTAGCTCCCATCACGGGACATTTGGAAGTCTTGTGGCTGACACTGAAAGCTATAAGGCAGCTGGAAGTGCCTGCACAGGGTGTCCTCTGTTACCTTCCAGGTGTACACTGCTCCTGAAGCCGCCATCACCACCACAAAGTCTGGATGGTCTGAAAGTGTGTGGAAAGCAACAACATGCTCAGAGCTCTCTATGCAGGAGAAGCGCTTGCTGATGGAGCCCGACCACAGACTGGCAGCTAACAGGTCTCTCCGTCGAAGGCCAATAAGGAAGGTGCTCTCAGGAGACACCTGGGCGTCAGATAGGTACGAGTTTATGCTGCACACAATGCTCCCGTGTGCCAGCTTCCAAACCCGAGACAACCCCCGTTTAGAAATACTGACCCCAAAGTTACTGTTGGGGGTGATCAGGATGTCTGTGGCTCTGCTGCCACTCATACGCAGGATGTTCTGCCCTGTTTCTGTAAGCCAAACGTATATTTCCCCTGTTGAGAGTGTGACAAGATGGAAGTTATTTGGGGAAAGGCGAAGTTTTTCTACAGGACCATCATGAAGGAAGTTATCGTGTGGAAGACCTGTTTCTAATCTCCATCTCCACACGGTCTCCGACCCATCAGAGGTGTAGAACCACTCTCCTGTCTGTTCAACCATCACTTGTTTTACTCCACACCCCATTTTCGGAGCTGTACCTGCAACACCTATCATCCCGGAGTCCCACACTGTCAAGAAACCATCAAGAGTGACACAAACAACATCTGAGGCCGTTTTGATGAGTTTCCAAGGCTGGTTGTTTACTTTTAAAGAGAGAACACACTCTCCTGTGCTGACCCTCCACACCAACACCAGGGGACAGGCGTCTAACAAAGCCAGGAAAAGGTGGCCATCCTGGGATAGTACAGCTTGAGTGAATATCTTCCCCTGCGGAGCAAGGAACTGGTCCCACAGCTCCCAGTCACAGGTATCCCACAGTGCAACTTGGTGGGATTGACACACCAGTAATGTGTGGATTTCATGTGAGTAATCCATATTAAGGATGTCATTAGATTTACCCCCAGTAAAGCTTTCTGTGACAAGTCTTGGTGGGTTTCTTTTGGCTGCTACATCCCATAGGGATACACCCCCTGTCCTGTCAACACAAGCCATTTCCCACATTTCTTCACACAGGATTATCAATGCAACTGCATTGTGGTTTGAGCTTGAACAACTGCCTAGGAGGCTGCCAGTGTTGGTGTCAAAAATGGACACTGTGCCTTCCTCCTGCCCACAGTACATGTAAAAGCCATTAGAGGAGCAAACCAAGCAGGTCACACAGCTCTGACACTGGAAATTAGTCAAAATCTCACTGGAGACGTCAAACACACTCACAAAACACTCATCTTTCCACCAGAGAAATATTTTGTTCTGACCAGCAACAAATCCTTCAACCTCGTTCACTGTTGTTTTCAAAGGGTCTTCAACCTGCAGAAACATTTCTGGGCCAGACACATCCCACAGGAAAAGCTTGTTGCATTGTGTTGAAAGAAGCAGGAAATGACCACTGCTCTTCACGCCTGCAAACTTCATCTCCTTCTGCTCGCAGCTCAGTGATAGTTTGACTATCTCACACCCAGAGCCTTTCCAAACCCAAGCCTCGCCATCATCCATGATCTCTGTGACCATCCCACTCTCTGTCCCAGCTGCTTCTCTAACAGAGACACCCTCAGTTTTGGCATCACGCTTCAAACACTGAATGGAGGGAACAGATGAAGGAGAGGGGAAAAGTGCTACTCCTAATCCTGTTCCTCTGTCCCTCCTCTCCTGTCTCATCTTACCGACATAACCTTCGAGGGCAGGAAACACCTCCAGGTAAGGGAGGAGGCTTGTCTCCATCACTGAGGGCAGCTGAAGGGGGGAGCTCTGCAACAAGCAAGCACAAGACTTCAATATGTTTGC